CGACTGACAAACACTATTCACTTGACTCTGAAGATGACTTCCGCCCAGGTTGTCGAAACGTCAGTCACCAACAACAGTTCTTTTCAGAACTACACTCAGCCGGACGATCACACTACACGAACTACTGATACTCCTGGGTTCAAACCATTTACTGTATTTAGGTTCTTCTTAGCCATCTTATACTTTTATGGTAGTGTTAATAGTGGAGAGAATCTTGTATCAAATGGAGATAATTGCACTTTCCCGACCAATTCCTTTGCGTAGTCCCTAAACGTTTCTCAGGACTTTCGGGCAAACTCATTCCCGCGACGACATCGGGACTAGTCCAGTTCTGGTCCTCTTTCTGTCACGCAGCCCTACGCTCTCGAGAAGAGAGTCCTTCTCTTCAGAGAGCGTAGCGTTGTGTAACAGAGAGACAGAGAGAGAGAGAGAGACAGAGAGAGAGAGAGAGAGAGAGAGAGAGAGAGAGCCAGACCTGGACTACCCCAGGACACATTACTCAAACCAGATTAAGAGATGTAGACAAATTACCGTGAAAAAATACAAGACGTACAAAATTCAGCTGAATACCTTTCCTTGGTAACCTAGCCTGTATGTGCCCTTGGTACCAGACTCCCATGAGACATCAGCTGCACTCGCTGGGTTTCCTTGCCAGTTGGTTATTTCCGTCACCTCACCAAACGTTCCGTCATCATGGTCACCATCTTCCCAGTCTGGACCTCTTGAGACCTTTGCGCCTGGAAAAATCCCTCGTGCTTGAATCTTCCCCGTGATACTCCTTCTTTCTACGGGAACTCTACAAAAATAAAATAAAATAAAATGTTACTACAATTGAACCTCTCCATTTCGAACTCTCGGGAGAAACGAAAAACTGTTCGAAACAGCGGGAGTTCGAAATAACCGATAGTAAATGACTGAAGGGCAAATCTAAGGGAAATGGTTTTGAGTTCGAAAAAACGGGGAATTCGAAATAACCGAGTTCGAATTAGCCGGGTCCAACTGTATATATGGTGCCCGGGGCCATAGTGTCAAAAATTACTATTTAATTATCATTTTAGGTCAGTCTCGTGCAAATTTCTTTATCCTCTACTGAAAGATGGATGTGTCAGCAACACATGGCTTTTCCGACCCCCATTCTAACTTCAATAAATATAACTAATAACAGCCCGACCCACAGCTTTATAACTAACATGGCAAGCCGTAACCAAGATAGTTATCCCTCTGGAAAAGGGAACTTTATAATGAAACGGGATGGCATGATTCAGTACTTGACAAATTAACCAAAAGTCTAGTCTTGTGGCCAGTACATTAAATCGTAACATTTCTTCTTCGTCCGAGCTTGTGGAACAAGCTACTAACTATGGCAATATAACGCGGTAAATTTCAAGGCCATGATAGGAAAATATATCGTGCTCAAAAGTTTGAAAAACAAACAAGTGTCCGTTTAAAATAAAGAAGTAAAAGTTCCAGCAAAGCTAAAGACGTTCGTTCAGAGCAAGTCACGTCACCCTGCAATATAACGCTGCAATGTCACGTTACTCACCCACCGTCGCATGGACCATCAAATCTTTCGAAAGCGTGGCTTGTATTGTGTTCATCAGCCATGTAACATGATGTACACAGGTTGATGAAGGAATCCTTGCAATCCAAGCACTTCCAACGCATTCCCATTATAGGTTCTTGCATGCAGGCGCAGCAGTTAAAACCTGGATGCTTTATACCTTACAAAAAGTGAAAGATTTCAAACAGTAGTCAGGCGCTCCATTATACTTCATCAAACAAAGAATTTTTCCTTGGACTCCGATGTTGTGCGTAAGACTTAATCACACAATTGAACGACATTTATTGTACTGCTAATACATGAAGTAGAAGAATTTTGTCACTCTTTGAATTCAAGCAAGATGTCAACACAATTGACCTTTGTAAATTTCGATCTCGAAAACAAGCAACATTCCAGCAATGTTAATAGCCTGGATCTTCCCTCATGTCGGCTCATGAATATAAAATCCTTCGCACAAGGCAGTACAGGCTTGAGAAGCAACTTTAAATTTCTTGATTTTCTAACCATTCTGTAATTTCTAGATTATATTTGGGACGCATCATGTAGATCTATATAATCCTCCCAAATCTGCCAGATGTAAAAGTTTAGGTCTTCTGCTATGCACATCTTTCTAATTAACGGCGAGATTTGGCAGTATTTTGATGAGGATTTGCCACCAACCAACGCTTTCCATTTCTACAATTTTACTATGTACACAATTTTGAAATGGCAAGTTAAATCTACTCGGCTGACGACTTTTTTCAAAGAAACCTATACATATTTATTTCCCCCTGCATTTTTAATTTGGCGACGTGACGACCTTGACCGGCCACGCAAAAGCTGCTCTGAGTCTGTTGCATTTTCTGTAGTAAAAGAAGCACGACAGAAAGCGTTTCCATAGAGTGACCTCTGACGAGATTCCTCTTTCGTTTCTTGCCGATCCCAGAAAAACAAACATCAATTGTATAATCTTTGGAAGTGTTAACGCCGGAGTTACTTTCGGTTCACAAACCGGAAGTACCAACAAACGATCGAGTATTCCACTTTGCGATCCTTAGCCAGTGTTACAAATTCGCTGCATGGAGTGAAAAATTGCAATTTAATCTACAGCTAGAAACAAAGTTGCTTTCTTACCAACGGAAGAGTTATCCAGAACACAAAGATCATATTGTCCATGGTGACCTGCTACGTAAACTGCACGAGTTCCGATGTCCCACTGAATCGCTGCCGTGTTCTCAGCAACACTGGAAACATTGCTTCCCAATTGAACAACTGTTCCTACATTTCCTTCTCCGCCATCACTGTCATTATCCTTCGATGGCCATTCAGTTCCACGGACAACTCGAAGGCCCACGCTGAATGTACTGACTGCGGAATCGTTACATTTTGATCCGTGTTCGTCAATTTGACCATGTATCCTGGCTTGCAGCGGGCACGGTTCTTTCTCCACGAAAGAAAGTGAGCTTGCACTGGATGGCATTTCCCTGAACAAAAATTATTTCAATCGACAAGAATGATCGTGTATTATACTAGTCAACAGAAATACCGCTGGCCAGAACGTACTTGGTGGTCACGATTTCGTGACCCGTGCGACCACAAAGGAAAAGTAACGCCAGTCACACAATGCAGCATTCAACGCAAGAGCGCAGAGCCGATTAAACGCGCGGGAAGGGGGAGGGGTGTACTCTACGAAGGTACTCCTTTCCGGAGGAGCCTCCCCGTATAGACCATTATAGGGAATATGTGAAAAAAGTATATATGTATACGTATAAATGTGTGAACCATGTTGGTTTGCCAACGATGATGCCTTGGAGAAAAGNTCCTGGCTTGCAGCGGGCACGGTTCTTTCTCCACGAAAGAAAGTGGGCTTGAACTGGATGGCATTTCCCCGAACAAAAATTGTTTCAATCGACAAGAATGGTCGTGTACTATACTGTTCAACACAAATACCGCTGGCCAGAACGTACTTGGTGGTCACGATTTCGTGACCCATGCGACCACAGAGGAAAAGTAACGCCAGTCACACAGTGCAGCATTCAACGCGAGAGCGCAGAGCCGATTAAACGCGCGGGAAGGGAAACGTACCCCTTTCCGGAGGAGCCTCCCCGTATAGACCATTATAGGGAATATGTGAAAAAATATATATATATATAGATATCGATCGATCGATAGATCGATCGATCGATAGATCGATAGATCGATAGATCGATAGATCGATAGATGATAGATTGATAGATCGATAGATCGATAGGTCGATAGATCGATAGATCGATAGATCGATCGATAGATAGATAGACAGATAGATAGAGAGATCGATCGATAGATAGATAGATAGATAGATAGATAGACCGATAGATAGATAGACAGATAGATAGATAGATCGATAGATCGATAGATCGATAGATAGATAGATAGATAGACAGACAGACAGATAGATAGATAGATAGATAGATAGATAGATAGATAGACAGATAGATAGACAGATAGATAGATAGATAGATAGACCGATAGATAGATAGACAGATAGATAGATAGATCGATAGATAGATAGATAGATAGACAGACAGATAGACAGACAGATAGATAGATAGATCGATAGATCGATAGATCGTTAGATCGATAGATAGATAGATAGATAGATAGATAGATCGATCGATCGATCGATAGATAGATAGCTAGCTAGCTAGCTAGCTAGATAGATAGATAGATAGATAGATAGATATAGGTTGAATAAACAGAAGAAGATGCGAACTTTTCTCGTAGGAGGTCTTTAATTTAAGTGGACGTTTCGCCCATTCGGGCTTCTTCAACACTAAGA